ACTAACGGCACAAATAGACAGGCAAATCAAGTGGATAAACAAGTTGTTTAGACTGTTAAAAGGGAAATCGGTGTTCACACTGGTATATTTTAAAGCAAGTTTTTGTTGTTTCTTGTTTTTTGTGTTAATAATTTACAGCAAATTGATTAACATATGCCATTATATTAATGAAAGTTAGATGTACCCCTTTGATTTATGCTTGTACCCCTAGGGGTACATGTACCCCCAGTTGAGAACCACTGCTCTATCGTATGCTATTTTTTCCAATTTGATTTTCTATCAAGTCTAGGTATTATTCAACACCTAGACTTGACAGTTTTTATCAAGAGTCTTGATAATGATTCTTTATCTTGCTCTGTCTATCCATAGTTGACAACTTCATTTTTTTTTATATCCTGTTATTATTATTCTTTTTTTAAATCAAATTAACTTTGTTTCCTGTAAACTAAGTAGGAAAGATTTGATAAAATTTTTTTCTCTACTTTGACAGAATGGAATGGTATTCTTTATAAGAATGAAACAACTTTTATCTATCTTTGTATGGAAAAAATATTGACAAGAATATTGCTCAATATCTGATTTGAAGAGAGCTAGGATTGTTTCTTGAATGATCCAAGCTTCCTTCAAAGTCAAGTGATAGGATAAATTGGCATCCTGTGTTTGCAGGATTTTTTTTCTCTCTCCCTTCATCTGGTTCTGAATCCATTTATCCCCTTTCAAATGAATATGAAAAGGTAAGCTTAACATAATCCTTGATTGCTTTTACAACTACTGATCTTGCCAAAGTTTACTTATTATTGGGTTACTGACCCATAGCTTCCTAGATTCTAGTCTGATGTTAAATTATTTTGTTATATGAATTTTGACTTTGGGAATTTTCTCACAATCAACCATCAACATTTAAAAATTATTTACATCTTTCAAATGATAAATATGTTGTAATAATAGTATATAACAACAAAACCCACATTCAGAAAAAAGTAATAATTACAAAAATCATCACTAAACACTTTTGGCTGCTGAGAATGGCCTATTCATTAGGTGTCTCAGCAGCCAAAGGTGTTTAGTGATGACTTTAGTAATAACAATATATATTGCTGGTATTAAAATGAGTATAGATTTGTTTATTTTTAATTCTTTTCATCCTCTAGGCACTAAAAGAGCATTTCTGTACCTATTGCGGGTTTGGCTAGACCCACATTGGGGATGGCTGAATGGTGAGGAATGGAACCTGTCATAACTGAAACTGACTATTCATGAAAGATTTCTCATGGACTTGCTGGCCTGGATTCAATCCCAGGTCCTAAGTGATAGGCCAATGTCTTAGCCACTTTGGTCATTTGACTGTCAATGATTATAGGTTTGGATTATGATATACATAAAAATTGTAAATAAAAGAAAGAATAACAATTATATTATTAAATTTAACACCAAAACATAAGTCTTAACCAGCAGAAATTTTTTATTTTCTAACATTTTCAGCTGTTTGTGTAGCCATCATCAGGATAAAACAGAATAGAAATTGAATACCCAACATAAAATTTAAATTAAATGTAGAGAATATTAACAAATTCATCAAGTTTTAATGGGATACACAAATATAATAATAATAAAAAATGACAAAAACTACAAATATTTGAAGTTGAAGCTCAATTTAAATTAATTGGGGTATAACTCAATAATTTAGTAATTATCTTTTATTCCAATACTTTTTTTTTTTCTTTTAGCTAAAATTTTTACATATGTTTATAACCCTTCTTCAAGTTTTCAAAATCAAATATACAAAGTTGATGGAAACATTCTAATTATTCAAAACCATTTTCAGATGACATGTTTATTCATTTGAAGATGATAAATGAAATTATCACCATCAGGTAAAACATGAAACAGAATACTTAAAAATTTTTATTTGTTCTATTATTTGATAATATAATATTGATAGGGTTTTTTAAAATTCTAACTTATTCATTCTTCTTATCATAATACATAGAAAAAAATTAGAAAACAGCTAATAAAAGTTAGTAAAGTGTGAATTTTATAAATAGTTACTTTCTATACCTAATCAAGATTTTTTATTTATCTTGGATAATCTAGTATAGTATTTTTCATTTGTGTTCAATAAAAATCTCAGAAAATACAGCTTAATATGTGTATTACCCAATTTCGCTGCCTGTAACCGGTGTTCTTCTTCTCCAATTCAGAGGAATTTGCAAACATTTTCGAACCTAATATGGTTCTTCTTCAGGCGCTATGGAATTCCCTATATGAATTTGAATTTTCAGTCTAGAATTAACCTTTGAAGAAGAACCACATTAGATTCAAAAATGTTTGCAAAGTCCTCTGAATTGGAGAAGAAGAATACCGGTTACAGGCAGTGAAGTTGGGTAATTTATCTACTCCGGTGTTAAAATTTCTTTATAGTTTATATGTATTTTTTCAATAGTATTGAAATTTTGATAGTTAAACAATTCAAGCTATAAAAACTATAATAAAGTGTATTATAAAAATAAATAATCTTAAATTAGTTTTAGAACATTACCATTGAAACTATTAAATTAAACTGTTTAAATGTTAAAGATGCCAAAAATTTTTTAATGAACTAAATTATTTGAATATAAGTAAAAAAATACTAAAAAAATAAAGTTCATTGAAAACACAATAAATGTTTTTGAAATGAAATTGATTTTTGGATCATTTGCAAAAATGAAGCAGATTTTAAAAATTGAATTGATCTTTTTTAAAAAAGTATTTTTGACTTAAAATTTTTTATAAGAATTACATGAGGATGTCTTGGTTTCTGAAATGTCTAATTATTAAAATTACCAAGAAATGACATTTTTCCCTCAATAACAAATCACTTCTATTATAAACAAATTGATTAATCTGAATTACTTCTAAATTTACTTAAAAATGAACTTAAATTATCTGGCAAAAATTGATTTATATTTGATTAAAACCAAAATTTTATTGCTGCTAATGTTTTATTATGTGTAATGAGTAATTTTCAACTTGAATGAAAGCAGTTTGATTGGGAATATTTAACAGTTGAAAATCGTAACAGTATAACCATTATGTTTAATTTTATCTGTAATTTTTTTAACTATTATTTATCAATTTGCATAGATAAAAAATTTTAATGTTTGCATCAGCCATATTTGCTCTGGAAGTAATGTGTTAGATTCTTTTTATCTCTGTCCTTACTCTTTTACATTTTTATGTATATATTGTCCACTTGGACTATGTTTATTATTAATAGGATTTATTATACTGGTGAAGTTTCTGATTAGCAAAGAGAGAAGATCTTAGTCAAAAATCAAAACAAAATATCTTTATTTTCATCTGCTTATTGAAGTAGGTATTTCTATATCTGTTGCATTTACTCTCAACTTCTTCCTCCATTCTTCTTTTTCTACTATAGTAGAATATCTACTTTTTAAACTAATTTTCGATATTTATCTTTAAAAAACTTACAAAAAAAATGAAAATGTACTTCAATAAGCAGGTGAAAATAAAGATATTTTGTTTTGACTTTTGACTAAGATCTTCTCTCTTTGCTAATCAGAAACTTCACCAGCATAATAAGTCCTAATAATAAACAAAGATCAAATAGACAATGTAATGAGTTAGACTTTAACGGTGAGTTTAATTAAAATCAAAATTATTGCTTAATGTCATTTAAAAATAGCAATTTATCAACTTTATTTTACAATCATTAATTTGCAAAGTTAAAAGGGAAATCGGTGTTCACACTGGTATATTTTAAAGCAAGTTTTTGTTGTTTCTTGTTTTTTGTGTTAATANCCAAAATTTCTTTCAAACATACACAAAATTTCCCCAAAAATTATTGCACACACAATAAAACCACAAGTTTTGAACCAATTAATAATTCAAATTACATATTTTGAAAAATTTGAATTAAATTATTTTGTATCTATGATATTTATTTCTGTTAGTTTTATTTTTGTTTCAATTTAAAAAAATGTTTGTCTTGTTAAAAATTTGTTCCATTTCTTTGTGTTCTAAATCATTCAGTTCAAAATGTGAAAGTTTGTAAATCTGAGGATAGTTATTAAATATGACCAAAAATATTATTTTTTAAAAGTATTTGCTCCTCTGAAATGTTAAGTACTCAGTACTTTATTTTAGATATTATTTTTTATTTTAATCAAAGCTCATGATAATTATGCACCTGTCAATGAATCATTCTGTTCAGTTTCTTTAATTAGCAGTCTGCTTGCATCTTTACATCATGATGCCAAGATTTGTTTATTTTGAAGTATATGCAATGAATTTTCATATTGAAATAATTATTTTAGTTTTTTGTTGATGTGAAAAATTTATAATTAATTAATTTTAGTTTTATTTGAAAAATATTGTTACAAAATAAAAATAATTAAAATGCCTTCAAGCTAAAGCTTTTCATTAGGAACTGAAAAGATGTTTGAAACAAACGTTAGTCATTACTTTGGGAAACATAGTTACTATTCAGCTTAGAAACTCAAGAAGAATAGTTTTTGACTTAACCAAAATTTAGTGTGTTAATAAAATAGTATTAACTCACTAGTCATCACATATTGAACTGAGAAAGCTCAAGTCCAGCGAACCATAATGTACTGTTAGCAACAGTATAGTTCCTAGGATCTCCCAGTCTAAGGAGAGAAATGAAGTCAAAAAATGACTAATTGGCAAGGTTAGGATGTTAAAATGTCTTGAAATTGTATTTTTTCAGAAATCTGATGCTAAAACATTTTGATTTTGATTTGATCAAGGAAACTTTTAAGAAATATAGTAATGATTTATCTTTGTACAAGTTGATATGTTGGAGGGAAATGAAAAGATCAGAATGCATAGATTGGTTTTGGATAATATCAACAATTTTTATAACTTAATATGAGAATTTTTCAATTAGTTTTCCTTAGTAAGAAAGCATTTATTTAGAAATATACTATAAACTTTCAAATAAAACAATTATACTTCTTTTATTATATGAAATAATTGGAATAAATACACTGCTGAACAGAAAAAGTGAATGTTTCATTTTCTTTCCAGCAGTATATATTTTATAGCTTTGTATTATTAAATTTAATAAGTGATAAAGTAGTTTTTTAAAAGTTTTTAGGATTCAGAATAGAAAGGTTGTGGTCGAAGTTTTCATCTCTAAAATGTGAACATCAAAATGTCGAGCACTGCCATCTTGTAAGCCTAGAAGTTTGACAATGATGCTTGGAACGTCAAGCATGATTCCAATGACGTTCCAAATGCCATTGTCAAATTTCTAGGCTTACAAGATGGTGGTGCTCAACATTTGACATTCACATTTTTAGAGATGAAAACTTCGGATGCAACCTCTCTAATGTTACAAATTGTTTCTTGGATGTATCTTGGATGGGTGATTCATACCATTCAGTTGGGATACCAGAAATTTTAAAAAGTTCAAGAACTCTTTTTGTTAACACACAAAGCTTCAATTTCGTGATCTTGTCAAAGATTTGTCAGCAATCCATTTTCTTCACTAAGTAAATAGATTGGTCCTACTATTGTGCATTTACACTCTGGCCAAGTTTATGAAATGAGCTATAATTTATTCTGTAAATAATAATCATTTAATTTGACTTTTGATTTCTTTTTAGTTAATAGTTAATTTCTTCCTTCATCCTGCATTAATATACAGTACATTATTTTAATTTTCCAGATATAATTCGATATATTTATTTGGGAGAGCCAATAGTTATGAGTTGGTGTTGGGAAGTCAAATCATTGTGCACAAATTTTAGTAACCTGTGATTGAGACAGACCATTTGTATAATTTAGATTTTTGAACATTGTGTTAGTCTGGCACATTGATTTGCAGTGTGCCAGAAAGGAAGTGATGGCTATTATGATACTGAATCTGTCTAAATCTGATCAAATTGTGATATAGTTTCTTGTTGCAGAGTAGCTAAAACATTCATAGATGATATTAGCAGTGTATGGCAGTCTCTGCTTGTCATTTCAAAGTGTCAAAAGATGTGTTTGGCACTCAGGAAATGTTTCACCACTGATCAAGCATGTTCAGGCCATCTGAGTACAGTGCTAATGGCTAATGTGCCAAAGAAAATGGATGACATCGTTCAAGAAAACTGACGTGGAAGCATCTGGTGAAGCATTCAAAACTCATTTATAAGAAGTGCTCACAATTGGTCCTGTACAAACTGATGAAAGGATAGAACAGAAGATGAAATGGAAGGGTGCTTCACTGATGTAATTGTTGAGCTTCTCTGAGAGAGGGAATGACATTTTGCAGAGAATAGTAACTTGAGATGAGTCCTGGTGTTTTCATTATAATCCAGAAGACAGGCAATAATCAATGGAGTGGAGATATACCTGTTCTCCTCCATCCAAGAAGATCAAGGTCAACAGGCCACAAGAAATATGGTGTCCTGATTTTTTGACAATGTTGTCTCACTACTCATTGACTTCTTGGAAGCAAACACCTCCACTAATACAAACTGTAATTGCCTAGTCATTGATTGCCTTGAACAGCCCTAAAGTCCAAACAACCAGGGTAACTCAGCACAGACATTGGTCTTTTGCATGACAATACATGTCTTCACATTTACATATCATCAAAGACAAACTGCAGAAGTTTGGCTGGGAGACACTGGAGAATCCACATTATTCTCCAATATGTGCAAAGACATGGTAGTCACATGGTAACTACCATGTCTTTGAACTTCTGGAGAAGGCATTTCATGTCAGTGATGATTTGCTGTGTGTTGTTGAGAAATGGTTTTGAGAGTGATCAGACTTTCTTCCACAATGGTATCCATAAATATGAAGATACTAAACACACTTTGCACACTTTTTCAGCAACTAAATTTAATTAAAACAAATGTTTTTAGTCTGATTGATAAGCCTTCATCAGGTTACAGAATGAAATTTAAATAGAGATACCATTTTTTCTATTATTCAAAAAATACAAAGTTGGTAATTTTGATTATACTGTAATTAAAATGCAATAGGTATTCTATTAAATGTGTGTTTATATGCTACAGAATAATTATCAAATTGACTGAATATGTTTCATTCATTAAAATTTTTGGCTTTCCAAACTAAGTAGTTATTTTGTGTATAGTAAAACTTTTTTATGTAAATAGATTGAGTTGTATTGAAGGAATAGCCACACACCACAAGTCTTCTGGGAGGACTTTCTATGGAAGTGTGTCCTTATTTAGGGGTTACACATGTAAAGAAAACTCAGAAAGCTCCATACAGCCAGCCTGTTTTGTTGGTGAAATGCAAACCTGCAACCAACTACCAGTGTTCATTGGTGTCATTCTAGTTAGCAATTGGCAGGTGTTATATAAATGAGTTAACTGCTTATGAAGCTAGAAACTTTAAGGAATGAAAAACATTTTTGGTCAATTTTATAACCATCTTCAGCATTCTATTCCATTCAAACAATGTTTGAATGGAATAGAATGATGTATAGTATCTGTTGCATCTTAATTATCTTTTACGTCATTAGTTTGTATGCTGAAGATTGTCATTTAATTGATCAAAAATATTCTATTCGTTAAAGTTTCTAGTTCCCAGACTAATACTTTCTCATTTATTTATTATTAAAAATTCATAAATATCAACATTTGTACTTATGCTGACTTTCATATTTGCAATATTTCTTTTAGCAATATATTGACTTTTATGAATATATAAAATTACAAATTAAAATTTATAAAGTATAACTTTAAAAATGATTTTAAATTAATTTTTAAAAAATTTTGTGTTATATGTTATGTTAACAGTTGTTTCTATATAAATACTATCTGGCAATATGAATCAGTAGTTAAAAAAGAATTCAAGGTGAATCTCATAAAAAAAGATAGTTAAAAAATAGTACAAACCAGCAGTACATTATGTAGATATTTTAAGATCAAACCTTTTTTTTATCATCCTAGTTGTAAGATTTGTAAGCAGAAGCAGTAGCTTTACAATAGTTTATCCAGTTAACCAAATACCATTTATGAAATTTTAATATACATATATGAAAATGTAGATAAAAATTTCATAATATTAATGGGTATGAATATCTATATGATCAATTTACAGCTTGTTATGGAATTGTACAAGTTCCAACTGGTCCCTGGTTCTGCAGAAAATGCGAATCGCAAGAACGTGCTGCGAGAGTGGTAAGTAGATAATATATATCTTCCAATAATTTTTTAATTAAAAAATAACAGCCAAATGTAGGAATTTAATTAAATTATGCATATTTTTAATTATAAAATAATTTAGTTTTTAATTATTAAAATTTATTTTGAAAATTGAAAAGTTGAAGGATTTTATAGATAGACCATTTAATTTAAGTGACTTGAAACACTTCTTTTAGTATTTATATGCTAAATATAGAAATGTGTGTGTATATATATAAATTATTGATTATTTGAATAATTTGGAATTTAGATCTGCTTTAGATAGATAGTTTGTTAGAAAACAAAAGAAAGAAAAAAAATATAGTAATTTATAGTTAAAAGATATATACATCTAGTAAAATTGCAGCTGTTTAATCTAAAAAAAGCTTAAAAAGTAGACAATTAACTGATTTAATGTATACAGAGATATGGTAGTCTTTATATAGTTTAATTAGTATCTGTTGGTGAAGCTAAGGTATTTAAACGTATGAGAATTATATGGTACTTATTATGATAACATTTCTTTTAATACTGTAATGTTAGTGTTTGTTAGCAAAGATCAATATAGTAAATCTTCCATCAGTATGGAGCATTGTTGTATTCACACTATGTATAGTTAAACATGTATTATATGCCTGTTTTTTCCCACTGTTAAATTAGAAAAGCATCTATAAAACAAGCATGAATTTAAAGAGTTTTATTGGTTCTAATGCCAATGTCTTCAGAAATACAATTTGTTAAAGAGCGACAAAAGACAAATAAAAAAGACAAAATCCTTAGTTTTAGGGTAGGGGTGATTTTTTTAAAATTGTAAATCCCAATAATTAGTAAAATTTTTACTGTTTGATCCAATTCAAAATATGACCCATGATCCCATGTATATTCTAACTCCCTTGACCTTTAAAATTTTACAGATTGCCATACTTTCCTAGTTGTTGTAGAATATTACAAAGGTGAAGTAAAAAATTCAAACTATATGAAAGATATGTTTATCTTTGCACATGCTTTGGTTTTATAGTACATGATTTAATATTTACATATGTGTAAACACTTGTCTTTGTATCTATCATAAATAATATATAAAATATATTGTGAAGAGAAATGACTAATGAATGGTTAATTTTAAGCACCTCATACTGTACTCTTTCTTACTCATATCAATACATTTTAACCTCTACTTTAAACTGGATATGTGTAAATGATAATTACACACCTTTAAAAACCTTAAATACCAGTAAATAACCTTAATAGACAAACGTTTTCAATCTATTACTAAAATCACCTTCAGGTCTCTTTAACATTCCAGTTTTGGAATGTAATAAAGAAAAATGATGTATTACAAAAACGAGAGCAAGAATTCAAAATTTAAATATATATATATAATTGTTGTGAATCAAAAAATTTATGCATTTAATGTACATTCTAAAATTGGAATGTTAAAGAGACCTGAAGATAATCTTAGTAATAGATCAAAAATGTGTGTGTTTTTAACATTAATTACTGGGATTTAAGGTTTTTAAATGTGTAGTTATTGCTTACTCATATTTTTGTCTTATTAATACAATGTGAAATATCAACATTGAACTACAGAATGTGACTAGGAACATTTATATTTGATAATACTTATTAGCTTACAGGCTGTAAAATCTACAGGCTGTTTCATATAAAATCTGCTCCACTTGCTGGAAATGATAAAATGAATTTAGGCAAAGGACACTTATTAGAAACTTTATTTTAACATTATTTAAATGTATTGAAACTTAAGATGCTGAAGGTGGTGTCCTTGTGCATCTATTCATTTTCATGTTTACATAATTCAGACCAACCTTTCATAAAGTATTGATATTGATAGCTTTAATGCTTCTGAAAATGCTTTTCTTCAGTTTTCATATTGTTCTGGGATTGATCTTGAACATTTCTTTTTTAAATATTCTATATAAAAACATTATTAATGTTTCATTATCTCAATTGAACCAATTTTAAGTGGAATACCCTGTATATTATAAAGCTATGTTGACCTCACTGACTGACTGACATAAAATATTTGAATAGCAGCAGACTTCCCATGGAAAAATAAAATGGTGTATTCAAAAGGGGATGTTGATTATGTTACTAGAAAATTTTGCAGTTTCAAAAAAGTCAAATATTTTACAATACAAAGTGCCAAAGTTCATTTCTCAGTATATAAGCAGTCAATTAGTACATGTTATCTGCCTATTTTTGATGTTTATTAATTTACTCCACATTATTTTAAATAACTACACTTTCTTTTGTCTTACAGTCAAGTATTTCTGATCAGATTTTTATTATTTATAATTATTTTAATTAATATATTTAAAAAAATAATAATGTTTAAGAATTAAAGAATAGATTATTATATAAATGACAACACAGAGAAGAATGTTATGATGTCAAATACCAGAATTTTATGTAAATACTAGGAGCAGAACACTTAATATTTACATGAAATATTATTGTCATCTGATTTTTTTAGATTATTTAAAATATGATAAATAGCTAAATTTTTAATTTTGAAAATATTACTAGAAGATAAATATTTTCATTGGTTAACTTTTAAAATTTTTATATATTTTTTTCTTAGTATAATTTATGAATTTCATATAATCTTTCTGCAAATCCACCATCAGTATTGCCAGATTTTTCAAGTTGTTGTAATGATTTGTAGGATTATAATTTCAAAAAAATCTATGTTTAGACATTTCAGAATGAATTAACTTGGATTTTTTTTTTTTTTTTTTTTTTTGTACAGTTTGCAACTTTTAAAGAAAGTTGCATTTAGAATAAAGAATAATTTTTTGGCCATCAATTAATGACAATTTTTGGCACATATATTGGCTGTATACAGTTTTGAAATATGGGGAGAAAAACGAATAGTTACAAAATAGAACATCTACATGTGTAAATTTGATTGAATATGTATGTATATATTTGAATTAAAAATTTATACATGTCATATATTCTACTTTGTATATATATATATTTTAAAATTAATTGATTTATTTAAAATTATTATATTTAACAGGAGATGGTGACCTGGCAGTCTGCCTACTGCAAAATTGCTTAGTAATTATTTAGCTTGATAGCCCAACAAATAAATCTGTTTGTTTGTTAGATATTTAAAGTAATTCTTAGTTGATTGTATTTATTATATACCATGTAAATATTCCTTTTATATTTGTTCTAAATTTCAAACCTGAATGAATGCTGTTGGTACACAATAAAAATGTTTGCTGATTAATTATAATTAATTGCTAGACAAAAGGTTGTTATTTATTCTATCTAGTCATCTAGTTTTATCTTCTATAATCCTCAGGAAGCACTTTTTTTTATTAGCTGTTGAATATAAATAGCTTGTGCAAAGATGAATGTAAACTGTCTCAAAAGCAAGTGAAATCTCAAACTTAAATGGGACAGGTCTTATATCTAATTCAGCTTCTTTATGGATGATGTGATAATGTTGATTTTTTTTAGGAGTTAGTTGTTTGCTTTTGTGACATGATGAAAATTGATTGACATTTATTTTTCAGGAAGTTGGTTGTTAGTGAAATTCAAAAAAAAAAAAAAATACTCTGTCACTGGCTAACATGGAATTTGGAAATATACATTTGCATCATAGCAATGTTTTGCTTACTTGCAATTTATTTCTTACTATTGAAAAATTTCTTGCAAATTATTCTTTTTAAAATTTTAGAATCAGTATCAAGAAAGCCATGTTTAGAGATATTCATTTGAATAAGCATTACACTTCTTGATCACATAACACATTTTTTAAATTTATTTATTAATAGAAGTTTAACTGTTTTAATATTTTCTTTTGGTATTATCTTGTTACTAATATTTTACTATTACAAATTGTCGTGTTCAAAGCAAACTTCTATAATATTTTATGTTCAAATAAGTTTACTTATAAGAATTCTAAAATAAATTTAATTACTTTCTGGTTCAAAAAGTACTATATAAAAATTGACTCCCATTTCTTGGATCAACATCCAAGAATCCAGTGGCATGATGTTAAATATACACACCAGTACATTGACATATTAACTATATGCATTGAGGCATTTACTGTAGGAAAAGGATGTCTTATGCACAAAGAACTTTGGGTCTTGTTCCCATAACTTGAGTCATATTGACTGCTTTTTCATTTGATGAAAATCTCTACTCCAGAGATGTGTTTCTTTAAAGGTTCATACATATTATAGTTGTTAGATGCAAGATTTAAGATGCATGTTAGTTAGTCCAGAATCTCCTAGCAGTGCCACATAAACTATTCAATGATGGCACCCAGCCAGTTTAGACCTACAAAGAAGCATGTTTTTGGGAAGAAGTTTTCATCAGACGACAACATGAACAGGAGTTGTGAACAAGGAATATGTCTCCATCTGAAGTATTGTGACAGATGCATGTGATGAATATATAGAAGTATATTATAAAGTGTGTGTATAATACAATACTAACACAAATGATGGGAGAAACAGTTTTGATATAGTCTTTAACTTAACTTCTGAATGTCTCTAAATAATTGTTAAGGGGTTATAACATTATGAATAACATTATGAAACTCTTAAAGTAATAAATATTAAAATTATGTACAATAAAAAGTTAAAATTAGTACATTTTTCAATAAAATATTAATAAAAAGTTAAATCAGGAACAAAGTTCTTCCAGTTTGTTTGTCAAATGAAATCAAGAATGTAATTTTATAGTTCAAAAGTTCTACATGTATACCTAGATTCAAAACTTTTGTACTTTCTGTAATTTCTGATGATATGTACCTTAAAAAAATATATATATTGAATTATATTAAGAAAACTTTAGAGGAGAATGATAGATAAAGAACCAGAGCAGAATGACATATTTTGAAAGAGAACAATAGTTCTAATAGAGTTAAGTATGTCAGTCAGCTTTAGAAAAGTTGGACAATAAAATTTATAATCTTACAACTAAAATATCTTTGTATTTTATTTTGTTCAAAATTTCTCAATGATTTCTTTGAGCCTTTGTATATTTCAGGGGTGGCTAAACCTTGTCACAGTAGGAGCAATATATGCATTATCAGAAATACATGAGAGTTGCATCCTGTATTGCAACAGTATTTTATAATAACCCATTAAAACCAAATGAAATGCAAAATTATTGGGCTATTATATGGCTTAGTTAATGATTAGAAACTAATTAATTTGTCTAGAGTTAGGCCACAGTTTAGCCACCATGGGTATAATTCAAATATTAGAATAAATATGTAGGATTAATATTGAAAATTGGATCTGTTTAATTTTAGATTTTTGTGGTTCTAACATAAATTACTTGAAGAAACCATAGGAAAGTAAAAGTACTTATTTTATTTCTACATTGTGTTTTTGTCCAGTTTTAAAAATCAATCCTATTTATTTTTATCAAAATACTAGCTTACCCGTCGCGCATTGCTGCGATCTCAGAAGAAAGGAAATTCAAGTAAACTCGTTATGATAAAATTAAATTTACATTTCATCATTTTTATTGAAACTTATTATTATTCATTTTCATCGGGAAAACATTTCAAAGTGTCGTTTCAATTCTATTTATTTATTGGAGTG